TATTAGCTGCGACAGATGAATCAAGATGCTATGACCGAAAACATTTTATTGACTGACGTAGAACTAACTGGCCTGCAGAAGATAACGGAAAAAAACACGGATTTGAAGACAGGATCTTTCTTAAAAATACATTTTTCTAACTTTTGGGACAATTTGTTCCAATAAAGAGAACATTTATATACATGTTTAAGCCAGAATGATTTGACATTTAAATGTGAATTCCCTATGACTTTAAGTTCTGTAGGGAGTTAAGATTGGGGATGACAGAAAGCAGATGCCTCCCGTCTCTAGACGAAGGATGAAGGGAGGATCATGAGAGATAAGAATGAGTTCAATCAGCCTACTTCAATCAGTGAACGGCAGACCTGTTCTGACTGTTTATCTCGCTAAAATTTATGTCCTGTGTTTTTTTCTTGGGAAAAACCAAATGTTTGTGTGTGAGAAAGTTCTTTATGTGGTGGTGTGATAGTTCCAAGAGAGAGTGTGTTTATATTGGGAGTTTGTGTCTAAATATATGAACTGAGCTTGATTTTCCTTCGACTTTAACCACAAATGTTTCCTATTTAGCTACCGTGTCTCAACTGAAATGCAAAACATGATGAAGAGAATTTACATTTAAAGATGTTAATACATCAAAAACCAAATAAATTGCTTGTTAATGCTGTTTACTTCGTTAATAGTTAAAATTTTTTTTCCAAATCTTTATTTTCCAGCCAGTAGACTAGTCTGACACAGTTCTGGGTGTCAAAACCTTGTAAATTTGGGAACCTTTGGTCTAGATCACTCTCTCTACTCAAAGCAGTGCGAACATTTCGCACTGAGCGTCCAGCGGCCGCCTTGTTTCGGTCATATTCACTCAGACGCGTCTACTTCCTGTTTGTCTCTAGGCGAGAGGTGGAGGAAGATCCAGAAACAGGATTTGAGACGTCCGACTGCTCCAAATCTGAGCTCAATGACTACAACAGCGTAACAAAGTGTGGAGCGCTGTCCGACCCTAAGGGGCCGTTCGCCGCCTGCCATGACATACTGCCGCCTCAGACCTACCAGGAGTGAGTAATCCCTCCGGCGTTGTGTGAGAAACCATTCAGAGGTTTTCTCTTGTGTTGAGCTTGTGTCGTTTGTCCTGTAGTGACTGCGTGTTTGACCTGTGCGCGGAGAAGGGCAGCGAGGAGCTGCGCTGCGGCAGCTACGACGCGTACGCCTCGGCGTGTCAGGAGGCCGGGGTTAAACTGGGAGCCTGGAGGAAGCAGCTGGACTGCGGTACGGTGCACAAACCCTCCCACACGGCCAGGGAAGGTAAACACGCCTGACTCTCTGTGTTTGTCTTGTAGTCCTACTTTGTGGAGCCAACAGCACCTACTCCTCCTGCATGACCGCTTGCCCGCCGTCCTGCGCCGACTTGGCAGCCCCCTCTGAGTGCGACATCACTTCCTGCGTGGAAGGCTGCCAGTGTGCCGCCGGTTTCGTCCTGAGCGAGGGAACCTGCGTGCCGTATCCAGAGTGCGGCTGCACCTTCCTCAACAGATACTACCCTGTGAGTGCTCCCCGCTGACCGCGCCCAACCTGGTCTATCCGTCTTTGTGCGTCTGTGTAAAAAAACGCGTTTCCTCGTCCTTCTCTCCATCTTTCAGCTCAACGAGAAGTTTGTCACCGAAGACTGCTCCCAGTCCTGCGAATGCACGAAAACCGGTGCGGTGTGCCAACCCAAGACCTGCCAGAAGGATCAAGTCTGCGCCATCTATGACCTCCGACGGGACTGCTTCAAATGTACGTATCGCAGGAGGAGACGCGATGAAACGACCGACCGAAAGCTGCGACAACACTTCATTTAACTGCAACTGTTCGCAGGGGAAGCCCACATTAAGCCGGTCGTACACTGTACGATTTTTAACCTTTCTCGGGCCGATTCTCTAGTCGTGCGAGAATTTTCCGATCGGGCCGACTTTCAGCCTGATGGTGCGTGGTAGGGGCGTAAATCACACCCATCATGGCGATTCGATTCAGTATCGATTTCCTGAACCAATGATTCGATTATTTTCGATTTTTAAGAATACACCACGATACGATTAGATTTTTCTTTTTTTTTTTTTACACCTTACAGGCTAAACAAAGTTTCAAGTTTGAAATAAATCAATGAAAGCTGTAATAACGTTATGCATTTTTTTTTTTAGAAACAACAGCAAATAACAGAAGTAGAAAAGTTGCATCAAAAAATACTGCAGAAAATCAGTGCAATGAGTTCAATGCAATACCTCGGCTCCAGACTCCGCCCCCTCCACAGACGCTCCGCTGCACCTCCCAGATTGTAGCTGACCGCAGACAGGAGGCCGGCTTGTTTTGTTTTTATGACTGAAATTGCGGAAAACAACTCGTGAAGTTTGAAGTCCGCTAGAACAGCGAGGGGCGCGAGAACGCTGGGACCCTTTTTCCACCTGGATCTCCGCTCTTTTTGGCCCTCATGTCCCTCCGTCGTCGGACTAAACTCGCCCCCACTTCCTCGTCGCCTCGGCCGTATCTAGACCCACAGTGTGTAGCTCAGACCACGCTTCAATACTGAGCATAATTTAAAAATGTCTGCATCAAGCTCACTGCAACACACTGCTGTAAGAGGATAACCAGGAAGCGAGGTAGGAGGGCAAAATAGGTTTAGCGCCACCGCAGCACGGGAGGGAGAATTACGCCCAGGAGCAAATGGATAAAAATAGACCGGAGAAAAAAAAAAAAACGTATCGATGCATCGGATCGTCGGCTGTTGGATCGATGCATCGATACAAAACAATTATTATTTACACCCCTAGAGCGTGGTGTAGCATACAGGGGGTAACGAGGGGCGATCGGCCTCTAACGACCACCTCACCATCAGGAATCAGAAGGTCGGTAGAAAATCAAACATGTTTGAAATTCAGTCGGCCGTTGTAAGGTGGTCGTGGGCAAATCGCTCAGTGGGCACACTAGGATTCTTCTTCTTCTTCTCAGAGGGAAACACAGAAACCTGGCGGGGGTTCAATGACAGACCGTAGTAGCCACGTTAGCTCAGCCATGTCTTTGTCCAAATACGTCGTCTTCTTTTCTTTTTAGGGCTTTCAGCACTAAATCGCCCAAATTTCCAAGGCAGCGCGTTTCGCTCTAGTGAGCCTCATGTTCCTCTTCTACTGGTTTGACTTCCGGATAGACGAGTCCGAGTAGCGCCATCTCACTGCGGAGCCGAGTCCCACCTACAGCGTGAGAGCAAACTTCGTGAGCTGGGAACTTTTTAACCCTGAGGTTTCATCGTACAGAATGAGCTGTAGCTGCATGCAACCATTGAAAAAAATCGTACAGTGTATGCCCAATTTACACGTTTGCACGTTAGCATCATTTTTGGTTTTCTCTCAGCCGCTGTAAAAAATATGTCCTGAACAAAAGCAGGTATTTAAATCAGTCTAGATATATATACCATAAACAATAGTCAGAAAGTAATTCACAATGAATAGTTAAAGAAAGAACCACCATTTGTTTGTTCATTCTTTATGCTAAGCTATTTTTCTGGAGCTAGCTTAGCTTGACGTTGTCAGGAAGATGTTAAATGGTGTAAAATGGTGTCATCTCTGCCGCGATGAAGATCTTAGCTAGCCTCTGAAGCTTAGCTGTGTTTTTCTCCCGCAGCGAGTCCCTGTCTCAGTTCTCCCTGCATGAATGGAGGAACGTGTACGGAAAGCAGTAACGCCACATACTCGTGCACATGTCCAGAAGGCTTCGAAGGAAATTTCTGTGAAGTGGCGATTATTGAGCCCGCCCCTGGTGGAGGATTGGGTAAGAGCTTTATTCTGATCCAATGAATGAATGAAACCCTTAACGGTTAGCGGTTAGCCGTTTTCCTGTACTGCGACCGCAGGACATTTCTTCACTGACATGCATTTATGTTTTTTTTTTTCCAGCCACCAAGTGGATAATCCTGATCGCAGTCTTGGTCCCGTTGGCCGTCATCGCCATCGTCGTCGTCATCGCCGTTGTGTGTGTTTGCAAACGAAAAAACAAGTGAGTCCCCGCAGACTTGGAGTTTATATCCATACGTTCACACCAAAGCCTGAAGTGACGCAAATCCGATTTTCTTTTTTTGCGATATGCGACCCGGATACGATCTTTTCATGACTGAACGACACAGATCCGATTTTTTTGGCTTTGTGGTCCTGAACCCAATTCTTTAAAATGCGATGTGTGTCTGAACGGCCAGGTCGCATTCATCCGACCTGAACGCCATTAGTAGCCGACATAGGTCGCTATTCTGCGTCTAGCTACGCAGAAGCAGGAAGAAAACAACAACCATGACGGACGATGATGCGGAAAGCAGTCTTTATATTTAACCATCTTGAAAAGATTGAGTTTTTAAGGTTGCGAAAGATCGCAAGGTGAAATCCAGCGCTAGCATCCATGTTTACTTGCGTAAACAGAGAACACGCTGGCTTGTGATGTCATTGCGTCCTCTACTGCGCATGCGGGACACTTAAGCTGTAGGAAAGCAGTTCCCACAGGAGATCACATACAATCGCATATATTTGGAAATGTGAACTGCAACACAAAAAAAAATCGTATTTCACAGAAAAATCGGAATTGAGCATCAAGGCCTAAGCTATATTAAGGCTTATGATGCTTGGAGAACAATTATTTATTTATTTATTTTTTTTTTTTTACCGTCTCAGCTGTAAGATTGGACTTCTTTTGAACTCCATAAACAAAGTCTGACTCAAAGTCTCTTCTCTCTCCACAGGAAAGCGTTTTCTGATGACGGAAGTGTCAGCCTGACATCAACTGGTAAGAAAAATTGCCACAATACTAAAAAAGCAAAATTATTAAACTTATTTTAACAAACTGGAGCTTTAAAAAGAAATGGCCTCTGTTGGGAAACCGTTATTTTTTTAGCTCTGCTGAA